CGGGACATGGAGAAGATGTTCCTTCATTCACTCCAGGGTGTTAATCTGTTAAAGGCAGAAACAAAAAGCCCAAAAAGTTGTTATTCTCTACTGATGATTTTAGGGTTAAATTCTTAACTTGCAGAATCAAAGAGAAATCACATGTAAATTCAGCTGCAAGTTTGTTTAAATGAGGCAGAGACACCCAAAATTTAGAATAAACAACACTACTTTGAGTATTCTGATTATGTGCTGATGGAAATCTAAAGATAACACAACTTTATCTGCACAGCTTTCATTGACTTCAAAAGCTCTTTAACATTTTTGAGTGAATGAACAGGCACAGGGTTACCAGAATTTCATTCTTTCTAACAGCATCCTGCTGTCACTGGCCTACTCTGAATTTACTACAGAAATAGGGTTTTGTATAACTGGCCTGAAAAATAAGAGTGAGAGAGCAAGAATCAAGAGCAGGTTAAAGGCTAGCTAGTCCCTAGCTAGCCTTTAACCTTAACATTATAATGCATTTGCTCAAAATAGCCCTATTTCTGTGCTTCCAAGTCAACATTTGTAACAAACAAAATAAAGTCATTCTTTCCAAACCCATATTTTGTGTATCACATGCTTCTCTTCTAACTCAACAGAGCTTTCCAAGAGGAAGTAAACAAAACAACAGTATTATTTAGAATTGACCATCTGTTTTAATACAAAACCCCAAAGTTCATTTCCTTTCCACAACACTGGGAAAAGGTCCTAGTATGCCTTCATATTATGTGAAGAAGCTGCTCAAAGACTTTTTCCCACTAGAAGTCTTCACAATTCTTCACACTTGAAGCAAGCAGGCACTAACTTCACAATAATATTCATACAATCTCTCTAGGTTTCTTAAAAGCAGATGCAAATGAAGCACAATTGATTTCCCTGAATTTCAGCTGCAGTTTGCTTACTTAACACAGTTCAGTCTAGCTCAGTGTTTACAAATTCCATTTCAGCACAGATCCATGAAATTAATCTCCATCCCATTCTCACCAGAAGTATTTCACTCAAACCAGCAACTTCTTGTGTGTCTTTCTGGGAGGTTCAAAGTTTGTCTAAGCAGCACTAAGCACCAACATCACCTTGAACTTCCAGTGACCTGGGCCAGACCTAGCACCACACACACAAACACTGTGGGAAGCAGGAGACTTCACTCCAGACAAGAACAAACCATATTCCTCTGGTTTTTATCTCTGCACTCAGTGGGCGTAAGCATGAATTATGCAGGGTGAAGAGCTGGCTGAATATTTGAAAATGTTAAGTCAAGCAAAGAAAGCCCATGCCTGCCTTAGTTTAGAGAAATAAAGCCAGACTGTAAATCTAAGTATGTATCAAATAACTGTGGTTATTTTTAAGAACCAGTGTTGAATTTATCAGGACAGTGATAAAGGAATTTATAAAATGGTAAGGCCTTTAACCTTTACATGTTGTTAATCCCAAACTAATCTGGCAAAAAATAAGTATATTGGAGCAATTGAATTTACAAATAACTGACATTAAGTTCATACCTACATTGTTTCAAAGTTGCTCTATTTTCCCAGCTGATCATCACAATCAGTGGCTGCTAATGGCAGATCTTTGTTGTTCTCTTGGGAAGAAAAAACTCTTTTACCACCAATATAGCTACACCAAACACAGGCATTTTGATCTCTAAAGCTCCCCACTGAGCAACAGTCTGAGCATTTCTATTCATAAAAAAAGTGACATATAATTGCAAACAAATTTTATTTTCAATTTGTTCAAAATAGAAATAACTATTTCAGTGATAATTCAAATGTGAGCAAATTATATTCATACACACACTTTGGTTGCTTTTTTTTTTTTTTTTTTTTTTTTTTTTTTTTTTTTTTTTTTTTCCTAAATAAGATTACACCACAATTTCCTCAATATTTTTTCATGGACAAGGGTCTATGGATCTCAGGATAAGCACTTCCATATTACACCCAAAGTGTGAGAATTACTGAAGTGTCTACGTGCCTCAGTCTAGCCGAAGAAAACACAGTTAAGGATGGTTGGGTTCTGGTTTTCTTCTGCAGTTGGGGGGGGGTTTTCGTTGTTTGTTTTTTTTTTTCTGCTGAGAACGTCTGCCTACTAAAAACTGAACTGAGGTCATCAAGTATGCAATCATCAAGTTGGAAACTTATCAAGATGACATATGTTTTTTGGGATTCTTCACAGAGAGGGCTACTTTTGCAAGTTACAGAAATCTGAACAAAACAGGCTATTAACCTATCTTTAAAATATTGGTTTAATCACTAAATGCACAAGAAACCTGTATTTTTAAAATAATGGAAGTAGGTTATACAGCTGACTAAATGCTAGCTGAAAATAGAATCTTGTTTCTTGTAGCCAAATATTTTTCAAAAACAAAAACAAGTCAGCCCATTTGTATCCACAGAGATATATAAATGCAAAAAATACTGTTATGTTTCCACTGAAAACTATCCACATTTCCATAGTAAAACCTGGAAAAAATTACGTTTCAATAAATTCTTTAACGTTTTCTAAAAATAATTATTCAAATGAGCATGTACTAATTTTTTGTTTATAAGGTTATTACCATTAACTGCATTAACCAAGCAACTTTACATGCAGTGATATTGTGTAATATAAATGTCCACATCTTATGCTGGCTAAGTTAGAGTGCTTTATGCACTTTCTCAATGAACTGTGTTAAAGGACTTAAGAAAAGCTGTTTCAGAAAGGAACAAAGGAACAAACAGCTTGGTAAAATCAGTTTTTCCATGTAGTTTGTTTCATGTTTTGCTCCTTTTTTTAAGGAGGAACAACACTGAGCATTACAAATCATTCCAGAAAGCAACTGGCTAACCCTTACTCACCCATTCTGTTTTAGTAAGTGACAAAAGAATAAAAAAATATAGGGACAGAAGAAGCTAAATAAAGTCACCCTACCAAGCTGCATTTTAATGTGAAGGATGCCATCAAAGATACTTCTCTCATTCCATTCAGAACAGCTGCTCTAAGGGTCTTTGTATTTGTTATAGGACAGAACATTTTCTCCATGGAGACAGTGGAATAGGAGTAAATATATTCTTCACATCACTTAAGTGTTTTATTTTACTATGGCAGTTGACTACACACAGCAATAAATCCATCAAGAGGACAAGTGGTCCTTGGCTGCTCTGCATTCTGTATTGTGCTGATATGACACTGCACAATTATAGCATAAAAGCACCACCAAAGACAAAAATTACATTTATCACTGATCTTTAAGTCTAAAGAACCATGGTAAGAGCAAACTGATTTTCAAAAATACAGATGTCAGGTAGTAAATAACACAACAAACTTCAAGAATGTGAGGAAGTTCTTTGTGAAAATGAACACTAAAACATTAAGTGTTCAGTTTTCCAATATCCTAGATATTTTTGTCCCATTTTTGAAAAAGAGCGATATAGGCAAATGTTTAATTTTAAGCACAGCTAATCCTACAGACCTCAGTAATCATTTAATTACATGTTTAGACACCATCTGTTTAAATGCCTTTTTACAAGTTATGTTTAAGTGTACAGATGCAAAATATCCCAACTGGAGATATATTCCCAAACTCTCATTAATGAGGCCTGCATTAGGTTCTAGCAACACAAAACCACTTGCTAGGGGGGCAAAGCTAACAACCCAAAACTAAAGGGAGCCAAGGAAGGTCAGCTGCAAAACACACTACAGGAAACTAAAAAACAATGACTAATCACCAAAATACTTGAAAAGACCCAAACGTGAAGGTCAAGTGAGAATGACTAATTCAAGGATATAAACCAGTACAGCACAGTGCATGTTTATATTGCACCTTCCTAATCAATGCTGCAAGGTCCTTTAAAAAAAGGAAATTTAACTCATAGGTGCCATCAGTAGAGATGAGCTTGGCAAATGCAGAAATAAATACTACTCATTGCTAGGTATCTTGTCCATCTATACACAAAAACAATATTGTAATAATTACTTTGCTTGCTTCAATTGCAGTCAGACTTTTTCAGCTATTAGTCATGCACATAAAAACACCCACAGAGTTTCACTGTGAGGAATTACCCCACTTGAAGGCAGCAAGGCAAGGTAACATCCAAAGAATAAGGTCTTGAAGTCACCAGAATTCCAACTTCTGAAGAGCAGAGCACATGAGGAGCTAAGAAGTGCATTATTCAAATAAGTCTCGGTGTGTGTGTATATATAAAAATATTTATATTTAGTGACAACTTGCACCAGCCTCGCTGAGGCCTGCAAGCAAAAGCTAAACTAATCACACAGCTGAGCACTTCAATATGAGATAACCAACTAGAAGTTTTAATTAGCTTTTCATGAAATCTTATCTGGACACTATTTTTATGGAAGAAATTCCTGAAAACTCAGCACTGTTACTCTATACAGCTTGAGTAATGCCAACATTTCAGACAGTGAGGAGTCTTCATGTCCCAAGACTCCTCACATAATTTTCCTTTAGAAAGTCCTGGTTGAAATAACCATGTCAATTAAGTTTTGTCACAAGAAATAACTACAGGCAAAGTATCTATTTCTGAAAAATTAGCCTAAGAGTCATCATCTGGCCAGTTTTCAAGGAGCCTTGACAGCCTGTTCCAATAGAGGCAATTAAGGATACCATCAGTGAAGGATTGTGGCCCTGAAACATTTTTCCAGACTGAAGTCTGTATCAGGCTCAGATGCTTTCAGGGGCTCCAGCAAACACATGTGGCTTTCTAGAGAAAAGTGGCATATTTACATATTTACATTTACATGACTTTACAGTTTGCCACAGTGTTTCTTACCTACATGTTTTTGAACAAGAAATTGAAAGATTCTTGTATCTATAACTTCAAACAAATAACCAATAAACAAAAAACCTCGTAGTTGACTGTGATCTAAATTTCTACTTAAAAAAGAATAAAAGCATCCAAGGCCCAGCAGTTTATAATAACTGTCTCAAGTTCTGTGTAACTAGCAATTTCTCCAAAAACGATTTTTGGGGAAAAAAAAAAAAAAACAAAAAAAACCCAAAAAAACCCAAAAAACTCAACAGTTTAAAATCAGCATGCTTTTTGCATATATTTAACTGGTAACACAAAGCTACAACGTCTGTCTACAGATGCTTTTTTTTTGTACACATGAATGTTCCACTGTTTGAGGTGATTTCATCCTTGCAGCCTCCTTTTCCTATTCAAACTGTTAAAGAATCAGAAAGGATGGAAAATCCATAATTTCAATTTTAAAAAACTCTGTGACAGTAACCAATTTCTCACATCTGTCAGGCAAATAAATAAAAAATGTCCAAAATCTCTGTGTTGACTCCCATTTTGGGACACATGCAGGAAACACACAGCACTGATGTGCAGTTTGTGCCACGCTGTTTTCGTAGCCATTTGTACTTACACGGTCTTTGTCATCAGCTACATCACAGAGAATGTCATCAAGATCCAAGATCCCACCATCCCCGTGCTCCAGTCGATGCACTTGTATCCAGTAGTTTGGATCCTGCATAAAAGAAGAAAATAGGATCAGATTATCCACCCTATAGTCAGCATCTCAGTCCTACAGATGCTTAACATCAAACATCTACTTCAGTCATATTTCTGTAAATAAATGTAAATTGAGATGTAAAGCCCAACTTCTTTTTTAAATTGCCTCAGACTAGATATGTAGTCTTCCCTTTTCTATCAGATCTGCACGAGTCACAATCCCATCACTGACACACAGGACTCTGACATACTCCCAATATTACTGCACATTACATTCCCAATATTCCTTGCATAAAAGGAAAATACATTGCCCTCATAATAAAGCATGTCAGCAGTGAACAGGCACAAAAGGTTAAATGCAGCTGTAAAAGATGTGAGGTTTTTACAGAGCAGCTATAAAAGGCATAATCCAATATTTAAACACTATCAAACGCTTTCTACCTGTCCTTTGCTAGAGGTGGTAAACAGAATATCTAAAACTTATACTAAGAACACTTCCCACATTTAAAACAAAAAATTATATATACACACAAATACATATACACACACATATATGCATACAAATATGTGGGTGTGGCTTTGTGTTTATACACGTGTCTAGCAATAACTGGGAAGACTGGCTTTATAGTCTTTATTATTACTTTTGATAGCAAAGGAAGCCATAGGGAATAAGGTTGTGTCAATATGACCCAAGTGCTGGTTAGAACTCAATGTGCTATTCTTAAAGGATTTGTTTCCTAATGGGGGAATGTTGCCCTGTAAACACAGGGTCTGATCATGCTACATAATCCTGCTTCTCAAATACACCCCCCAGTGCCCCAGGCTGTTGCTCAGTGTCTCACAGTAAAGGAGCCTTGCTTTTCACTGGGAAGGCATGGCTGCACAAAGTTACTGCTGGGAGGACCATCAAACCTGCATCAGCTTGCAAAGTTCCTGACTTCCTAAAAATAGCAATTAGCATCAGCCTTTTCAGGTATGGTGTCTAGAAGTGACAAAACAAACAAATGAGAATAATAAAAACATCACACCAAAGCCAAACCTGAACCTAGCAAAAACCCACGCACACTAAAAATAGAAGTCATAAATAAATAAATAACCTCCACCCTAAAAGGCTTGAAAATATTTTGATTTCTTAAAGATGGAACAGGACAAGAAATGGGACTACAAGGATCCCTCTAAATCCATATATGTATTTAAATCCTGACAGAACATGCTGCACTAAAGAACATCAAGAGATATGCATCTTGGTTTTAATATCCTAGAACTCTATGTATTTGCACATGGTATATATGCATAGGTCAAATATTTTGTAGATATTTGATAACAATGAAACTTACTTCACTGTTTGTATAATACATCCTCCTTAAACACTGCTGCAAGTCATCATCATCAGATGATCAGATTTCAGAATTACATTTTACAGTCATTAGACTAGTCATTTCAAAAATTAAATTACAGATTTTTTTCTCTGATTTCTCTAAGTATTAAATATCATTAACTTCCATTTCTTCTAAGCAAGCACTTATTATACAATTAACTGGATTTCTACTATGTGGGTTTTGACATACTTTCACTGAACAGACTTACTGTTGTAGCATATTACAGGAGATAACTAGCATATTACAGGAGATAACTCAGCATACATTTTTAAAAGTAAAGATTCAAGAATAATTAGAAATGCTATTATATTATTCACACTGTCATGCATACAGAGATGCCTACATAGCTAGCTAATACACAAACCTGGTCTGTAAAAAAAGTACATAATGCAAATAATAGGATAAACTTGTAAAGTTTGAATACTCCACTAATACAGACAGGGCCGGACAAAGTCACCTGTGTAAACCAGAAATCTTTCAACAACAAATAAATTTGAAGGGAAGTCCACTGAAAAGATGCCTTTGTAAACTCTGCTCTCAAATTAAAAAGGAAAAAGATCCTTCCTCATCCTCCAGCCTACTAAAAAATCTCCTCTGGCTCTCATATCTACACCAAAGACTGAAACACATTTGAAAAGAACAAGACTTAGAAGACATAATCAAACAGACAAGCTGTGAAGCGCCCTGCACTCCTAAAGGACTGATCCAGGTTTCCTCTGCTGAGATTCTCCATCTCAGAGCTAAGCTAGAATTGAACCATAAGCCAGCCTTCATGCAAAATCATAGATGGAAAACCTGGTTTGGGCTTTAAGAGAGCCTGATCCCTCATACGTCACCCAATTCACCATTTTTATTTGCAACAATTAATCTTCTTACCGAAGAATGGAAACATTAAAAACAGGTAACTGCAATACTGGCTCAGTGACCTGACTACATCCATCAAAACAAACAGCACCCAAGCTGAAACTACAACTTCAATATCCATGTATCCTTGTTTTTTGCTTCCTACCACAACTATTTCCTACCTCCAAGGCAAATGTAAAAAAACATTCACGATTACAGAATCAATAGCAGAAACACCCATTTCTAAATCACTATTGTGCTATTTCAGCATGCACAATCTACTTAAAAATAGCTTTGATATATAAGCTGCATCACTTCTGCTAATTACTTCCTTTAAAAGTTTCTCAATATTGCATAAGAAGTTTTAGATAGACTTCATTTCTACTGCATCACCTGTTAGTACTGCCATAGCCTGAACTGCTCTGGTCGCTTTTCCTGTCAGACAAGGTCCTGATACAAAAAACAATACGTGAGCAAGACCAGACAAGAAATATATAAAACTAGTTTGGCAAGAATTTACTCTGGCGGGATTTGGTAAGTAAATATGAAATAACAATGCAACTTTTCATTAAAGCCCTCTCCAAACATCAGAACAGTCTTCTCTTGAGGCCCTTTTACTCTATTAAAGGTTTTGCATAAATCAAGGATTTCGTGGGGGAGGATTGGGAGGGAAGGGAGTACTCACATTCTACAGAGATTAGTTACACCATATTGGGGGGGGGAAGAAACTAAAAAAAAAAGAAAGCAACACTGAAACTAGTGATTTTACCAAGTTATGAAAATCCACAGCTATTTATGGTTCCAACTTTTAGCAATTATTTCTATATATTCTTCAACCAAACATGAAAAAAACAAACTGCATAAATGTTCACATTTAAATTCCTATTCTGTGATCTGTCTAAAATGAACATAATGTTGTACTAGAGTCAGCTCATATACACTGACTGATAAATATGAAAGAAACAGAACCAGACTTGATGCAGACTGAAATTTAAGTACTCCTACATGGCTGTTACAAGTGCATCTGTATTCATGGCTTGTCAAGTTGTATTTCTCCATCTCAGCCAGTAAACAGATATTCACAATTCCATACACAATAGCAATAATACAGTCCTCAAACATTTTCTGAAGCAGTCAAATAAACTGTTTTGGCTAAGACCAATTCCTAAAGTGGAAATTGGCTATTTCCTGAGTTGACATAACTTCATTTGAGGCAAAGTGGTCCAGTTACTCCTTCAGGACACCTGAACATTTTCAGGATCACCCTCTCTGGGTGGCAGTCCAGGTCTCTCAAGTGAGATGTCAAAAATCAGGGACTGCCACCAATACTTACCCACAGCAATCTGCTCAGGGCATGTGCAACAGGGTGCCTACACATGCTAAAAGGAAAATGTCTTCTAGTTATTAAACAGAAAAAAATGCTAAGTATATCAAGTCTATAAAATGCTAGGTATATCAAGTCTAGGAAGTTTCTGTAAAAAAAAAATGAAACAAATTTTTAAAATCTCCCACAAGTCTTTCAAGAAACCTGCTTCAGAGTTACAGTTTAGTTAGACATGATCCTGTTGTTTCAAAATCTGAATTTGTATATTAGAATCAGATTTTCATATTTTGTCAATAAAACAAAGCTACATTTATATTCTTTCAGTGCTATCATTTTGTAAAAAGGTACTGCACTTTCCAAATCTGCAATGCATTTAGACAGAAAAATAAGTGGTGATAGAGAACTCATTAGCTTCACTGCTTCACCAAGGTGTAAGTTAGCAAAGTACAATTATTTTGAAAAAGCTGCATGGATGCCTTTGTCACTAGTTCATGTAGAAGAACCAGCAAGTTCACTTCATTGAATATAAGGACAGAAGTAACGCTAAACCTGATTTATAATATCTTCATTTAAATATTGCATCACTCAGCTCAAGTCTAAGCAAGTCAGATCTCCTGTTTCCTGTCTACACCCATTTAACTCTTCAACTTGACAATGATTATAAAGGTAGTCATAATTTAAGCTCATGAGCACCACATTTTCTAATCCTCAGTAATGGGAGATAAATATTTGCTAAGTGAACACCAGCACTGAGACTGGAAGCAAAAGCACATTACAAGGGCAGCAAGAATGCAGCATTTCACATTCTGTTTATTACATAAAATGACTTCTAAAAAGCACAAAGGAAAAACTGAGAAAATCATTCATTTAAGTAGTATCATTCAGTGTTCCATAGCTGTTCCCACATAATGGAAACAAGGACCATATGTGGAAAACAATATCTAGAAATCAGAATGGAAACAGCAATGTCTTCTTATTAATGACATAGGAAGATTTCTTATTCCTTTATATCTAAATAGGTGTCTTGGTTTTCACAAATGTACCCTTTCCAAAAATATATGGAAATATTTAACATTAAAAGTAACAGTAAATAGGATTATTCCTTAAAATACATTGTCCCTATCTTACAAGAATACAGCACTACAAATCTCTGAGTAGCAATCTATTTAACAGAAAGCAGAAAATCAGGCTCCTAAAAGCCTGATGAACAATGCTTGGTGTTTACTAATTGTGCCCACTACTGTGATTTAATCTCACCTGTCACCAGTAGGATGTCCTGAAGCATCAGAAAAATGACATTAATCTGCCTGGCTACAATTACCTACTTGGAGCTGGGATCACAGAGGAGTGTGTGTGTGTTTAATTTCTTGTGTGCTGTTTGAAGCCCATGCAGAGAACACTACTGAGGGAAGACATCAAGCTCTCCTTAACTTTGCTCACATTTCCCAACTGTGTTTCCCTCCAGCTGGG